TATTTATATATTATATTTTTAAAAAATTTTTAAGATTGGAGTGTAGTGATCTAGTGAAGTGGTTAGGTTGTCAACTTCCTAAGTAGTAGGTTGGGTGTTCAAATCCTATCAACAGTGAAAATTTGAATAATCACCTATGTAATATTCATATTATGGCAACTGTTATTAATGATTGAGTTAGAATATCTGTAATGGCAGTCACATCAGCATAATTGGCAGGTCATAGAGCATCTGTACAATGTTGGAGTTATACAGAGGAATGCAAACTAACAAATCAGATAGTGCAAACACTAAATAAGTCCTTGTAACCATGTAAATCTGTTGAAATTGGGTAACAAAAAGTCCATTTGGAAAGACTTAAGTAGAGAGGTAGCTGAATCTTTGACAGTCCTACTGTAAATGTTAGTTTGGCAAAATGGATACCAAGGTCTCGTACCTAGTTGTAATAGTTAGACAGGAAAGAACCTCTGGGTTAAAAGTCTTGAAGATACCACCAACCAGGCCATTAGAACAAACCAGAAAAAAAGAATATTGGGCTAACCTGATATACTGATGGACTGGTTATAGTCCTATACAGATTATCTAAATTGGAAGTTTAGTAAAAGGCAGAGGTATACTAAAGTACTGGGGTTATGCTATAAAGTAGATGCTAAGGTCTAAATGAACTTTACAAAAGCATAGCAGTTTAATGATTAGCTCTGACTACAAGTGTAGTCCTGCTATAGTGATACTTAGGTTAGTTAAAAAAAATAAATACAGAAGGCTTTAGGGAGTTTATCTTAAAAATAAATTAGTCCTAAGGTTGAGACAATAATCTAGGTATCTAAATATAACCTAGTGAGTTAATACAAGTTACAGATTCAGAGAGTTTAAAGTAGAACACCCAAGCAAAGGTGTTAGATATAGCAATTGGTAGGGAACCTTCGGACAGACTTCTTAAATAAGTAATATAGAAAAGTTACATGTGTAGCTAATTGTACTCTCTTCTGTAGTAGTTCATTGAACCACAATACTAATAAGTGATTAATAAAAGTCAAAAGACCAAAAAGGTCACCTTAATACCAAAAAAAAAAAATACATAGAAACTCTTATAGCAAAAGATAGCAATATATCAAAAAAATTTTTTTTGTAAAAATATAATTTCTTAAAGAATTAGAATAATAGACATATAGTTTTATAAAATTACAGAATCAAAATTTTTTGCACATTGTTACCTTTTGCTGTAGTTGTTCCTATATATGTTTTAACTAATAAACCTTATCTTCTTATAACAAAAATACTAATGTACTTATTATTTTTATATACTTTTGTATCTATAATCAAACTAATAAACTTTATTTTTATTTTAAAATTTGTCTACTAGTTGGTCAAGTTTTCAAAAAATATTAGTACTTGAATTATATTATAAAACAAGTATAATATAAATTTTAACTTTAATTTAACAATAAATAATATTATTTAAATAAGTTTTTAACTACTTTAATAGGACTATACAAATACACTTAGATTCTTAACATAAACCAAAACAGTATATACTTATAGTTGCACTTGTGGTCTTCCTGACCAACAATATATAGAAGACTTTTACAATTCTTATACTTGCCTACTACAAAAAAAAGCCAATAAAAAACTAACTAAATAAATATTTGAATAAATAAACTACAGTACTTCAACTAATCATATTTTACATTATCAAATCTAGATAAGTTTTAGTTACTCTAGTAGGTTTAGATTGCAGATAAATTAGATAAAATAGATAATAATTTCATCTATAGTCTAAGTTTTATTCTTGTAAAAAATTTATAAATTAGCTCCAGCCTATGTTAACTTATGTAGTTGTCTATAATAAATTATTAATAAAAATAAAGCAAGACCTTATTTTAATTAAAAACTTAAAATTGAATTTGCATTTCAAACTAAAATTGTATTTTGTATAAAGTAATTCTTATTGAATAATTTACTTTACACAAGTTTGAATTATTTTGTGCAATATATATAAAGCTGTTGTATATATTTTGTATAAAATATATCTTTATTCAAAATTTTGAAATACTATATTGACTTAAAATACAAATATTAGAAGATTTTAAAGTTAATATACAAAAATCCAAGTTTGACAAAAATAGAATATATATTTTTTTCAAATAAGTAATGTTATATTTTTTAATAAATTTGTAATAATTATATTTACTGTTAAAAAGTTTATTAATTTTATTAAATTAGAATTTTTAAACACTTATATTTTATTTTTGAATTACAAATAAGATTTTTTAAATTTTTATTTAATTTAAAATATGTTACTTATTTGTTAACTTCGAAATTTATTATTATTTATAAAACTTAATTATAATTATAATCAGTAAAGCTTAGCCAATCAAATTACTAAAAATAAAAAATAGTTATACTGATTAATTGATTGGCTAATTATTATATTATTTTATTAGAAACTTAAATAAATAAACTATTAAATATTAAAAATAAAAGGCTATTAAATATTAATTATATACAAATATAGTAAATTAATGTTTAATTATTTATAACAAATTATTAGCTTTGAAAAGAGCAGTTTAAAGAAAACCAACAATATATATATACTGTAAGTGCTATTAAGAGAAAAATTGTTATTAAGCTTTTAATAATTAGTTGTATTCTAAATACTATATAAAAAAAATTATAATTAAGCTTACAATTATATTTTATAACAAATTATTACAAAATATAATTAAAAATTTAATAATAAAAAATTTTAAATAGTGTTTAAAAAACTACTGAACTTTGAAACCCAAATAACAGCTTTTCTTTTAATAATATTCATACGTATATATTCAAACCTTCTATTAAAACTGATAACCTATAATAACTAATAAAAATTAGTTTATAAGTTAAACTTATAATTTGTTATTTCTAATAACTAATGTTCAATAATTAAATATTTATATTAGATTTGACAAATAAAATAAAATAATTTAATTGACGCAAATAAGATTTATAACATGTTATAAACATAAAAAATAAATTTAGCCAATTCTATTTGTTTATAGTTATATAACTAGTAGTATTTCAAAACTGATAACTTCTTAAAACTAATACAAAAGCTGATTACTATACATATTGGTTCAGAAAGGTTCAACTGTATAATATTTTTACTTACTTAAAAAAAAATATTACATCAATTTCTTTTTAAATTAACTGCAAATTTAAAATTATCTTAATATATTTATAATTAACCAATATTTTAAACTATAAATTAATACAAAAAATAAACCTATAATGTAAATAGTAATCATTGTAAAAAAAATATCAAATCTTTAAAATATTTTTAAAATAAATTTAATAATATTTTATATTTAAATAATACAAAAATACAAATAAAATATTTGCTAGTTTAATTGTCAGTTTGTGTATATTTATCAATTTTTTGAATATTTTGTTTTGTCAAATTTAGTTCATTTGCATCAATATGAAGAAGTTCTAATAGATAAGTTTGAATATTTGGCTTATATCGGCTATCTTCGTAAGTATCATTAATATTATAAATCTTGTTTTTTAATTTATTAACATGTGCATGATAAAAACTACAAATAAAAAATTAAAAATTAGCTATAAACATGTATGTATTATGCAAAACATGAAAAACATCCAACCTACATGCGTTTTGGAAACCAAAAATCCCATCTTCTCTGATGAGGAAGTAGATAAAATAATTCAATTTCAGCAATCAGCTATTTAAAAAAGATTATAAAAGACAGTAATTAAATTACAGATTAATATGAAAAACATAAATGAAATATAAATATATATATAATATATACGTACTTCAGCTCTTAAAAGTAAAAATAAAACTCTAGAATTGTTGCTCGCAATGGCAATATTTAATAAGCCAATAAATAGATTTAAAAGATAAATAACCGTAAAGAGTGAAAATGTTATCCATAAAAAAACAAGAGCTATACTATTGCGATATTCCCAGGAGGACAATGAACTTGTATCACCTAATAGTTAAAAAGTTAATAATAATAAAAAGTTGTATTAAGGAAAAAACTTTCAGCTTTAATACCTGTCATTAATTTATATACGGCTAATAGTGAAGTTCCAAAATGTTCATATAAATTGGTATTTAAGTTCGGCGGCAAAATTAGCGATGGACTCATAATTATAGTTCCATTATTAATAGGATTATAGGTATATGCAAGATTCCAAGGGTTATTTGCGTCATTGTCATAAACTGGTTTTGATGGATTAAATTTTTCAGCCGGATGCAAAAGTAAAAAAAACGCATGTGCATATGAAAATACAATAAATGCTAGAATTATTAAAAAGGAACATATGCTTTTTGCAACACCTATTATGATTGCAAAATAAACACCAAAATTCAAATATTCAAATGCTCTAAAAAATAATAGAAATTTTAAATCTAAAAATAAGCATGAAATAGCTAATAACCAAGCTGGTATCGTGATATTCGTTAACCAAAAGAAAGATGTTATCATTGGACATAGATATGCGCCAAGGTCTATCAAAAAATGCATTATTTAATCATAATCAGTATATTAAATAAAAATCATTATGTATATTTAACAGAATTTAGAAATTTTTTTTTAAACTTTAGCTATAAATACTTGGCAACTACCCAATCAATTTTATAACTTTTTTTTTAGTTTTACATATTTGTAAAAACTAAAATGCCAATAAATTAAAATTAATCAAGTACCTATGCTTACGATTTAGGTAAAAATTTTTCTAGATTCTGTAAAATATATTCATTATGTTATAATATTTACCAAACCAATTCCAAGTACTGACGATGTAACCTTTCCAATCCCAGATAAATTGGCGGATTTCAATTGTTAGCTGAAGAAACCCAAGAATAACAGAACAATAAAATAGTGTTTTTTGATTTTCTAAAGAGATTTTATTAAATGGTTGACTTGATGCAAGGGTAAAGGTTAAAAGAAAGATGGTATACACTATCCAAATTACATAATAATAATATTTGGCAAATCGATTCCACTTGAAGTTCAAAAGTGCTTCTCCATTCCAATCAGAGTAAATAATGGGTATTTTTGTCGTTTTTACAAATTCATTCGAAGCAGGTTTTAATAATTCGGCGAAGAAATTATATTCAGTGGGATAAGTTGCAAATTTAGGCAAAGGAACGAGTAGTTTAACTGCTGGATAAAAAATCTTTCTTTCATCTAATTTATTTCTTATTGATTGCCATAAGATGATAAATAATATAACACATATTATTGGCCCAGTGACAAAGAACGTTCCAACTATAACAAACAATTTGAATGTATCCGTTCGAACTCCAGAAAGAATTGCAGTAAGAATTCCAATATATAATAACAATATTAGCCCAATAATACCTATGATAATAACATTAAAGTAATTACAAATATATCCATAAACATTTCTAAGAAATTTGGTGACATGTGGTTCAGGTAATTCATCTATATCACCGGCAAGATGTGGATAAGGGACATAATTAATTGTTTCATCTGCATGACTAAATATAGAATTACAAACGAAGAATTGCGCAACATAATAAGGATATAATTTTTGAAGTTCTGAAATCGAGCTTGTGATAGCACATAATACTTCGAATTGGCTATTATCTTCATTATAATAACTTATACATTTATCAATAATTAAACCGATCATTTCATTGTCATGTTTTCTATATTTTCTTTTTTCATCATTAGACTTCACAATTGATTTCACAATATATGGTGAAAATTGTGAAAATGTATAAATATCATCAAGGTACATTGTTATCATCTTTCCTAAATGCTGCACAATGTTTGGATCCGTCTCTTCATCAATGAAATCCAATACATGTTTAAAATATCCATCATCCCATAAATTTTCTGGTGTAAAGGTGCTTTTAGGCATTTTTATCACACCATTCCGCTCATGAGAACTATATTGTTTAAGTCTTCGTTGAAATTTAGGATGTTGTTGAAGAATATTCTCAAATAAAATTATTCCAGCATAATAGATAATTTGTATTTCATTGTTAACAAGAGTAAAAATTACGACGCATTTTGTTGCAATCACGATTAAATCATCATTAGGTAGTAAATAAGATCCTAGATAATCACCATTAAAACTGATTGGTGTACAGTCATTTTTAGATACTAATAGCTTATGACAATTTCCATCAATTTCTCTATCAATTGTCCATGTCATTAAGTGTTCCTTATCGTATCTATTGTATTTTCCAGTAATGGTCCAATCAAATTGCACTTCTGAATATGAATATTCACATTTAATTACATTAAGAACTTTTGCAATTTCGGAGCCATAAGAATAAAATCGCCGGTTTTCCTTTTCAGCAGAACTAGAACTTCCTTCATTGTCAGAAAGTTCATTGTTGATCGATGCACAGGAATTATAACAGTTTTGGCATTAGATGTTAAAATTAAGAAATCCGTCTAGAAGCATTGTACTTAGAAAAAAAACTTACTATTTTCAAGACTACCTTGGATAATGTTTTCAACATCTAATGTTTCACTATCTTCTTCGACCAATATTTCATCATTATCATAAGAATCAAATAGGTCACGTTGATAAAAGCATGCAAAATACATTATTGATATAACTTTAATAAATATAAGGATCGTGCATGAAGAAAGTGTAAGAATAGGAACAATGGCCGGGATTATAGTAACTTTTTGATAAATAACCTATATAAATATAAATATATATATATATTAGTTTTATCACTAACAAAAATGCTACTAATTAAGCATAAATATCTTAAAATTTGTTCACCAGGAATATATGTCTTCGATAATTATAATAAAAGTAGTAGCATATGAAATCCGCACATTTGCTTCTCGTGAGTAAGGAGCACTTAATGATCCAAAACTGCCAGTATACAAAGATGCCACGTTCAATGCTTCATTATCAATTCCAGATAAAAGTGACAAAGCTAATGCAGTGCGGTAATGCACAAGCCACCAATTTTTATATCGTGGATTCTCTCTAAGCTCGCGACTGATGATTAAGAATGTAAATAGAATGCTGAAGTCGATGGGAATCACTAAAACAGTAATGCTAAAAAAACCCCAATATTTAATTTATTAATTACAATTAAAGATAAAAACATAGTATTTCTAAAGAAGATGACAACCTAACGGGTAAAATCCATTTTTCATCCTTTCCATGAAAAGCAATAAATAAAATGTCTAATATAATGTCCACCACTATTAGCGCAGAAACACAGATGGCCAAGAAATTGCGTATTGCAAATTGCTTTTTCATAGTCCTCGTATAATATTCCTTTGACAAATCACAAGTATTTTAACATATGGTGGTAAAAAAAAAAATAACACATTTGATCCATGTTTATAGGCTGTTCACCTTGTAGTGCCTACGACACGCAAGGTGCCATAAAAGTAATAATAGCACAACTCCAATAAAAATACCGATCAGGATAAATCTGTATTTGTCCCATAAGCTGGCTGTATATAAAGATGCATAATTGTTAAATATACAAGAAAGTATGCATAAGAGCATATGAATATTATGAATATCTATCTAGTTCTCAGCAAAATCAAGCAAATGCTTGACAAAGTCAGATACTGTATCAAACGATCATAGATATCATATATAACTGATTTAATCTATGTTCGTTTAATATTCAACTTGATTAAGGATTTAAGTGCCAAATTCTTGCTTGATTTTGTCGAGCACTGTGAATATCATGTGATCTTACGTATTAGCCAAGCACCATTAGATTGATCAATGTAATTAAAGGTGGCGCCAGCGGAAATTGTTAGATTATCCTTGTGCATGATTGTTTCATTTAAATCACTGGCAAGGCCAAATGCGCCTCTATTATCTCCTTGAGCGATATTAATGCGCATAAAAATTTGATCACCATTATCTTCATTACTGTATTGATAACGCATCGGTATTGTAATACGCGAGGCATCACATTTAATAGCCGTGGCGATATCATTACTCATTCCTTTAATAAAGTCATATTTACTGCTTGATGGTAAGTTTTCGTAATATGTAGATCCTTCATTGGTTAGACGAATAATAACGCTTGCATCACCTATGTATCAAATTTACGTTAATAATGATATTTTCCTTTGCAAAAAAACAAAATCTCACACCATCCTACTATCATTGTTATATACTGCGATATAGTCCACAATTTAATATAGTTCGATAGTTTAATCACGGATATTTCGTGACAGCTCACAGGAATTTGTTCTGCTAGACGGTGTAAGAAATAAATATTTGTAAATTTGTGGTTACCCATATTGGCAAGAGTCCTAACGGAAAAAAATGATGTTTCATAATCCGAAAGGATAAGGAAGGGTTTTCGATTTAGATGAGAATCCAAATAAATAGAACTTTTGAATGGCGCAAAACATGTATAATGTTGAGTAACATACCTGACACACGTATATATATATATAGCGTGACGCCCGCCTTAAGTTGGTTTTAGCTCCTGAAATTAGATCATTCCTGGGCAATGCTTAAAAAAGCGTCAAATTCATGTCTGATTTTCAAGAAAAGTTCGTCGTGAATGGAAAAATTTGGGCAAATAATTCTTAATGCTACGTAGGTGACCAATTCGAAGTAATGTAATGCTGTAATGTAGTTGAAAATTAACTGTCGAAAGAGTTAACTATGCAGGATTATGTAATGACGTGAGTACGTTTTAAATCGTACATATGATGTAATTATGCGATAAATGTAATGCAATAATGTAAATAATAAGTAAAAGAAGTTAGAATGCAGATTAATATTACCATATATGTCGTTATCATTTTTATTCCTTACGTATTACGTACTGGTGTGTATTCTCAATTTTCTCTGAGAATACTTTAAATGCACTTATGTGAGGACATAAAAATTTTTCCAAATTTATTATATAGGTATACTGCTTATAGTGTTCCGCAGACCTGAACCGAAGACCCCAGAACTGACCCGAACTCGGCCACGGTTCGGTCTGGTCTTTATTTGGAAATAAGTTGATTGGCTGAACCCAAACTGTCCCGTGAGGAGCACTAACTGTTTAAAGCATACTTTCACATGATGTCGATCCTATCCCACCGATTTTCTGCTGCGGCAGACCCAATTCTAGGTTATCCAAAATTATGCGAATTAAATGAAACATTTTACTAAAACGCACTATAGTGTTTTACACCTACGAATGCATTATCACAAAAACTGGCTAATTAATCTGTATGATGGGTTCTAAGTAAAAATGGTTTACGCCCTCCAGTTAATTAAAATAATAATGATTTTAATACTTGTTTATGTTAACAACAGTCTCTGAGCTATTATGAATCCATGAATGAACTGGAAAGACCACAATCAGAATACAATGTTTTAGAAAAAGTATCTTGGTGTGTATACTGACTAAATGCAATGTTTTGTCTTGATGTACTTTACATATATGTATACAGTTAAAGTTTGATATAGTGAAGTTCCCATTTTGACCTTATGCCTTCGCTATATAGAAATATTCGTTATCAGAAGACAATTTATATGTTCAAACACGTTTATGTTGCAAAAAAAAAAAATTCGCTACGCAAATTTTTCATAATCTCAAGCGTTGACTGTATATATATTATATATAGTGGAATTTCCAAAGTTACTTTGAAAAAATGGTTGCATTGTTTAACATATCATTCGCGTTTATTTGTATAAAATAAAGATGATGTTTAAGGGAGCTGACATTTAAGAGCTCAATATAACCCCCTCTGGGAATTGTCAATTGACTACTTCCAATACCCCTAGAGTCAGTCATTTGATATTATTCTGTATTCCCCAGAGTCAGTCATTTAATATATATAAAACTATCAATTGACTACTATAGTATCATAGAGTCAGTCATTTTGACAACA